AGTTGTACTACACCTGATTCTTCTCTTTCGACAATGAGAAAGCAAGAAATCCTCCTTGATGGATTCCAATAACAACCAGTCACGTTACTTCATCAAAGTTTAAATAAACTACGATGTAATCTTTACAAATCTCCGGATAGATCTCATGTAGAGGACAGAGAAGTAATTAATTTAATTAGATATGATCTCTAAAGTTTTTCTCTTATGATCTGCAATTAGTTTCAAAGGAAATTCGATTTTTTCTAGAGCTCTTGACCTAAGATCGAATCTTGAACAATTTTATCATTTACCATGCATAAAAACTCCATTGGATGTTTAGCAATTCCCAATTTATGAGAACATATTACTTTCCCCCGGAATCTAAGTAATTCTTATTAATAAGATCTTGTTAGATATACCGAAAAATAAGTGCTAAAAATTTACACAATGAATATTAAATGGTGAAGTTTCTAAGTATTTAAAATAAAATGAAAATATTATTTGATAACAGATAAAAATTAGATAATTTATTTTATTGTTTACACCAATCATGGAATAGCAGGCATTATTAGAATATTTTGACAATACAGTTGGTAGGATTCTACTTTCTGTTGTATATTTCATCACTTAACCAATTAAGTACGCCATTCTTACTTACCACTTTAAGTGATTTTTTAGTTAAACCAATCAATTAAGTTGTGTCCAGTTAGTGGTCATCAAACGCACTTAATGAGAAAACAAACCCAATGAATAAAGAAAAAGCACAAACATAACGTAGAAGTTAAGAAATCTTAGAGGGGTAAAATAGTGGATTTTATGAGAGATCACTCCTAAAATCTTTGGAAAATTTGTCTAAACAAACCTGAACCTATTACACTTTTGCCAATTTTTTTCTAAACCTTATAATTCTACCAATTGAATTCTAAACATTTTCACGTTTTGTCAATTGAGTCTATTCGCCCTATTTTGGGGGGAAATCGTTGACGTGGACGCCAGCTGTCCAACAAGGCATGATCGGCGTTGACGTGGACAATTTTTAATAATAATTTAATATTTTTTGAAAAATTTTATTAATTTTTTTTCTTTCTTTTCTTTTCTTCTCTTTTCGTTTTCTACTTTTTTCTTCTTTTTCTTTTTCCTTTCATTTTTCTTTTCTCCTTTTCCCCTTTTTCCTCCATCGGCCATTGCCAAGCTTCATCGATGGCTAGTGAAGATCATCGACCTCAGGTGAGGGTCACCCTCACTGAATCAAGCGAGGGTCGCCCTCGCCTGGGTTGGCGAGGGCAGCCCTTCGCCAGATCGGGTGAAAGCAGCCCTCAAATCGACGAAGCCCAGCGACCCTCGCTAGCCATAAAAGAAAAAAAAACAAAAGAAGGAAAAGAGAAGAAAAGAATACATAAATAAATCGAAAAAAATTAAAAGATTTAAACAATTGTCCGTGTCAGCGATTTCAAGCCAAAATTGGCTTGATGGACTTGATTGGCAAAATGTGAAAAGGTTTGTACTTTTGGCACAATTAAAAGGTTTATGACTGAATTGGCAAAATTGCAATAAATTTAGGACTTTTTAAATAGTTTTTCCTCAATCTCTCATTTGATGGCCAAAATAGAAATATTGGTGAAAATTGCTAACATTGCCATCATTTCATTGTTGGCTATCTTACGTGGCACATCATCACGTTAGCGATTCCAAGCAAAAACTGACTGAAAGGACTACATTTAAATTTTGCGCAAAGGTTTAGGACTAAATTGAAAGTTTAGAACTGAATTAACATCTGTATAATATATTTACAACTGATTGGATAATTTCTCGTTCAAGTTACTATATGTATATAACTATTTCAGCATCATGAAATGCTTATAGTGAGTTTTGTTCCGATATATGACTAACGCGGGTAAATTATCAAAAAAGCCCTAAACATATTGTGCTTGTGCCAATGCAGTCCTAGACCTTTTAATTTGGCAAGTTTAGTTCTAAACCTTTTGACATGCCAATTGAGTCATTCCGGCCAATTTTAGCTAAAAATAATTGACTATATACTACACAGCATGGCCGACGTTGAGGTGAACCATTTTTTTACATTTTTTTTAATTTTTTAGTTTTTCTTTGCTCTTTTTTTTTTCATTTGTGGCCGGCAAAGCGACTCTCGATGGCAGTCGGAGAGGGCCTTCACTGCCTTGCCGACTGTGGGTGAGGGCCTTCATGGCCCCATTTGCCGAGGGCGAGGTGGCTCTCCATCGCCGACGACAATGAAAAAATAGCAAAGAAAAAAAGAAAAGAAAAATGAAAAATTCAAAAATTGCAAAGATTGTCCGGGTTAGCGATTTCCGGCCAAATTTGGCTGGAAGGACTCAATTGACAAATTGTCAAAATGTTTAAGACTAAATTGGCCAAATTGAAAAGTTTATGGCTGAATTAACACAAGCGCAATGGTTTAGGACTTCATTGGTAATTTTCCCTAATTAACTCAATTACAATTGGAGCAACCCCAGAGGTTGGCAATTTTTTTAGTTATTTTACTTAGTTCGTAATGTTAGGATTCTTCTCTCTCCTGTCATTAATCTATTAATTGCATTTGCAAATTACCACAAAGTTATACTTCTGTTGAACAAAGTAAGGAATTCTTCCCTAATTTATCATATTATGTGGTTCTTGACTTGATTGAATCAATTAAGTTAATTCTAGTTTAGTTTGTCAAAAATAGAATTTAAAACTCATTATGTGCTGAATCTTTAATTTTCAGCATTTAATTGAGTTAAAAGACAGGCTTCTAGAATTAGAGTTCGGTAGGATTATGATTATTTTTTTGTTTTTTAATTTGTAGTTGGAGATTTTTTCTTGATGCACAAGTTGTTAATTTTAGGAAGTCTCATTGATGATAGGTATTTCAATATATTGTTGCCTATTTGACTTTCGTACTTAGGATATGTTATCTTTTCTTTACTTAGAGTTACTCAGACTGGTTACAACTAGCATCCCTCTTTTTTCCGATCTAGTTCCTCCACCATCGCGAACCCCAGTTAAATTCGGGCATGATAAACTTTTTCGTTACGGGGAGAACCCAAGTACTCACTTTCGGATCTAGGAAACAGCTCTTAGAAATATTTTTTTCCTTTTGGAGGATAGACTCTTAGCTATAAATACAGTTTAGTCATTGAACAAAATTTCATTGTTACCTACTGCCGTAGAGAGTGTTGTATCTAGAATCGTCAAACGGGTGGGTCAAGTTGGGTTTGGACCTAAATAGACAATTAAAATCTAATAATCCATATCCGACCCATATTATTAAGACACTTCTATATTTAACTCAATTTAGGAAAACTCATACCCAAACTGAACTGAAAGAATAGAGTAAGCATGCGTGAAATCGAGTGAGGATAAGAGAGAGTGAAAAGAGAGTCATAAAGATGGATTGTATCTAAATAAGTTATAAACTCATTTAACACATGCATTTTTTTAGACTTTACCATTTTAAACTCATTTATAACTCATTTATTAAATATAATTAACTCATATAATAATCCAGCCCATCAAATATGGATTCAGAAATTGTTCAGAACCATTTTGACAAGTCCAATAAAAAATTGGTCAGAACTATTTTGACAAGTCCAGTTGTATCTTGGAGTGGCCCAATAGGGTGGTGATTCGATTAAGGAAGACCAGATCAAGATTATCTAGTCTCTCTCTTTCTACCAAAATCTTTTTTTTAACTCTATTTGTTTGCTCAACACAACATAGCATCATTTGATATCAAAACCAAGGTCCAGCGTCATGTTGAGGAGCAGGGTCCCAACTCCGACCTTAGGGATATTAGGTCCCACCCTCGGGTCTTCGACCTCGAGAAGCCGGGCTCGATACCAGTTTGCTTGGTCTGGCCATATATGGCGTCCAAGTATGGAGCTCTAGGTCTAGGTCTCGAGATGGTACCACAAACTTGATTTTTGTTTCTCAAAAGCATTTCTTAAGACTTTAACGATTAAATATGTCAAAATAATTCCGAGCTCATTTGAAAATGGGGCTTCGCTAACATAACTCTTTGGGTTACTGCGAGAATAACAGTAGGTTGTGAGTCACAAATTCTTGAAGAAATAGACCCCGCAATAATCTATAATTATTTGTTAGGGTTAATACTATGAAAAACCTCAAATTGATACACTTGTGAAAAATTTACCCAAAATTAATTTTTTAACTACCAAAAACCCTAAACTGGTACACTTGTAACAAACTTACCCTCCGTTAGTTTCCATTAAAATTCTACTATCAAATTGCTTTGTTAAATGACACATGGCAGTTGACAGATGTACTAGTTTTGGGTTTTACCATTCATTTGTCACAAGTGTACCGGTTTGTGATTTTTTGTGATATTTAACGGAAACTAAAGGAGAGTAAATTTGTAACAAATGTACCAGTTTGGGGTTTTTGGAGGTCAAAAAATTAGTTTTGGGTAAATTTGTCACAAAAGTACCAGTTTAGGGTTTTTGGTGGTCAAAAACTTAATTTGGGGTAAATTTGTCACAGTTATACCAATTTAGAGTTTTTCGTGATATTAACCCTATTTGTTATTTATTTTTTTGTGGTCCAGAACATGATGTTATTCTCACTATAAATTAATAACTGTCACTTAATCATTTCTCCTTCTGCTTTTATACGCAAGAAAAGCTTCACATGATGGTCATTATAATTCTATTTCCGATATAATTTTCCTAAAAAGTTCTAAAAACCTTATTCGTTTTATGAGTCGATTACTAAAAAGATTTCAATGGATTAATCTGACCTTTTCAAAACTGTTCAGATTTTCTAAGTCAATCAATTAATGCAAAAAATATCATTTAGAAACAAATCTTGCAAATAAGCAAAAAATCTAGAACTGATTTAGGTGCTGTACCAACTACACAGTTAAGATCCTGAAGATCCGTTCAATTCCCTGGTATCTATGACTATGAAAAATCTCCTTCATCCCTCTCGCCTTGCTTGTTCTTCACAGTAATCACTTCACGATTCCACATCGAAGAAAGCAATCTATGCTTCACACTGAATGTGAGGACGCCAACCACCGCCAGCCATGGTGGAACGTATTCAAACCGGTCCTCGACGCCGTCGTGCCGTGTTGCATTTGCCACCCTCTCCTCCTCTTCTGTCTCTACTCCCCGCCGGCCACGGTCGCCACGGTCACAGGCACCATCATTTGCCCCACGGACAATGGTCGCGTCAAGATCGCCATGCAAAACCCTGCGCAAACCTCTCCATTCGTCACCCTCGAACTCCCGCTCCACACCTCGCACTTCGCGGCACTCGTCCGTGGCGAGACGAACCGGATCGTCTTCACGTGCCCCCGTGAGCCCGACGGTTGCTCGATGCGCCCGCTTTTGAGCGCACCTGTTTGGACCATGCTATGCAATGGGAGGAAGATGGGGTTCGCAGTGCAAAGGACGGGATCGCACAAGGACGCATCGCTGTTGGAGATGATAAGGTCGGTCTCCGCCGGTGCAGGGTTGTTGCCGGATAAGGAAGGGCTTGGCGAGCAGAAGTACTTGAGAGGCCAGTTCATTCGAACAGTGGGGTCAAGCGATTCTGAGGCGTACCACTTGGTTGATCCTTCAGGGTGTTTTGGACAAGAGCTGAGTTTGTTCTTCCTGAGAAACTAGGAATTACTTTTAGTCGTTTGCTTTGTTATGTATTGCGTTCAACTAATGTGGTTCCTGAAAAGGAAAAAGCAATCATTCTTTTGCCGTAAGGCAATTTATTTAGCATCCGATCTTGGACAAAGCCGGTCTGTTTAGTCGACGGAGCAGTCAATCAAATGCCAGGCAATACAATCGGATGGTGTTCATGACGCGAAATTACCAGAATCACAGATCTGCAAGCTTATAGGCTAGGAACAATAAGAAGTTTATCACTGTTTGTTTTCTTGAATTTCAGGTGGACATTATTGGCTTTTATTCATATTGTGATCTTCTGGAACGGTGACAAAATCTAGTACAATCCCACTTTCTGTCGTCAGAATGTGGTACTTATCGTGAAATGGTAGATATGAGCTCAAGCAGATCGCGCAAAAGAAGCATCGGCCACAAAAGTGATAGCTAGCTAGACAAATATATTTACAGGTGGAACAATTGAATTCAATCTGTTCACAGCATTACAAAAATGAGTGGACTGCGACTCATCTGAATGGGGGCGAGGTAACTTACATCACATGTGAATAAATGTCGGTTGTCCACTCGAATCTACTTTTGTACAGAGGGAACCGTAAAATCTGCAAGGCATGATCACTTTGCCAGCTCTTTCGCGATGAGATAACGGAAGCTGAAGTTGTAAGGAATCCATTCGATGGACTTGCTCGATTTTCCCACCGGACACTTCTTCAGGCTCTTTCTCAAAGAATCGGGCAAGCATTTTTGAACCATCTCAATAATGTCCGCCGTACAGAGCCCCGACTCTTTTGCGAAAGACTCCACAGTCTTTGGTAACAAGATCTTCTTGTCCTTGCGGACACCAAAAGTAGCTCGAACATACTCCTCCTTGGCAGTTTCCAGCTCTTGAAATAATCCTTTGGGGGTATATACGCGAACCTGAGAAGGGTTACAACACGGCTCAATACTTCTGATAAATCAAGAACAAATTCGATCAGTTGGTTATAACCCGGAAAGGCAGGACATTTACTTCTTTTCCATTGCTCAACATTTCTTCCTTGTTAGATAATCATGAACTCCTTGTGTACAGATTTAGGAAATGGGCACACAAACAATCCTGATTGCTGAATATCCTCAAATATGACAGGACATTCAGCTTCGAAAGAATAGCTACACAGCAGAAATGGGTAGTGACTACTTATCACTGGGGTATGCTTCGAATTAGTTGCCGAATAAAAATATAAGAATGTCACATGAGTACCAGGATCTCCATCTCAATAAGTTGAAAGATCCTCTGAAAGTACGTGAACCTGAAATTTTGGGACACAACAGATCTAAAATACCTATGTTCATCCAGTCTTTTGCTTAAAGGACTAACAAAGATCGATCTAAATAGAAAGAGTATACTCACACCGGAATAAGTATCAGAATATGAGAATGGATAAAAAGGAATGTAAAGTACCGCAGGATCGGAGTGGCTCCCAAAGCAGAGTGCAAAATGCAGAAGCGGCTCTGCATGCTTGATACCATAAGCTTGTCTTTCGTCCCCGGTCTTGAACTTTTTCTTTGGACTAAGTAATAACCGAAGCCACTGCCAGCAAATAGCCCCATTTATCAGCTCTTCTGTATAACATGATAAATAGCCAAGTAATAAAACTAAACATTCGTCTAAAGAGAGAATGATGGCGTCAATTCTTTTCCTTTTTACTTGAGGCATATAAATTGAAAAATCTCCAGTTTCCTCCCAACAGAAACAGATCTTGAGACAGGTTGTGGCTTTGAACTCACCTGTCCTGGACGAGACATCCGGCATCCCAGGATGGTACTCTGGATCGTGTCTGCACTAATCGTGTGGCCTCCAACATTGTATGCAGCCTGGCACACAGCGCGTTATTTAAAACTTATGCCTGGTAAACTCCCCAATCTAACATAATTGCTTCTCGTATTCACTTACCTTCAGTAGCTGGAAGACTCTCTTTACATTGTTCTGTGGAATCCCGTAAGCCAAAAATGCCTGTTCCCAAAATTTAGAGGGACCGATCAGATATTTGCAACAGAAGTATGGTTCAACGAAGCAAACATATATATGGATTCCATAAGCTGTTAAATTAAGTATCATTACATGCATCACCAATGCATTGTGGATGTTGATCCAGAACGCTAGTTTTTCCTCATGCCTCAACTTTCTCAGATCTACTTCTTCTAAACGGCAGATCAGTGACCTGTAAGAGAATTAACTTGTTAAATAGATGAATCTTTGCCAATGGTCATCTCGGACAATAGTTCAAACATATAACGTCCTTGGGATGTTTTCAGGAAAGACAATACAGACTAAAAGCCACACCTGTAATTTTGTAGCAAGTGTTCGATGTGACCCAATTTCTGACTGTCTCTATGTATCCAGGGCACTTCGACCATTGTGCTATACGGTCCACTGAACTCTTTGAGTCCCTCCACATGAAAAGGATTATCTAACCGTACGTCGAAGGATGAATTGTTCCTGAACCCGGGGCTCCACATGTCTGATTGATCTTGAGGAGAGAATTCGCTTGCAGATGAGAGCGACGAGTTCGGAGAAGAGAGGCCATGATTTGCCACAGGAGGATCTGCCAGTTTGCAGTATATGGATGACACACACTTAATCATATCCTCGGAAAGCCTATTGGCCGACTCAGGCACGTGATCAGAAACGGTCGTGCCGAGGTACTCAGCCAGACTAACTACACTTGTTCCTGCCTTTTGAGCAAACTGCAAGACAACACCGAAAAGTTGGTTCACTCAAAGGCATACTAATTAACAGAAGTCCAAGAAAAGCAATTATGATTCAGCAGTCTTAGGTTCTTTTTTCGTATTAAGATACTTTTTGCATAGTGAAAATGTTCTCTCTCAACTCAGTTTTCCTTGAGGCCAGATGTGCAGAGGCTCTATAATATAGGAGAATTCACAACAACTGAAAAGAAAAAGGCCTAAGGAAAATTTTTGACAATTACATAGCTGAAGTTATACCAGTGGAACAGTAGAAAAGGAATAGATGACAAAATTGAGTAAAACCAACAATATATATGCTTTCTTTTTGGGTTTTCTGAGCGATTAGGCCCAAGAAAAGAATGAGATGAAACTTGCCTCTATCATTGACAACGGTTGGGAGTGACAAGCCCGCACGGCTTTACCCAGAGACTCCTCTCGAGGACAAATCCTTACTTCCAAGGCCGAACGGTGAGACAGTGCGGAATGACAACGATGGACACCAGAATGCAACAGTTTCTCTTCTTCGCTGAGACCATGAGCATCTTTCAACGGGATTTCAAGTGGTCCACTTGATGGAACCGCAGAGTCCTCCTTTCGTTTTGCACTAGCAGATGGAGGAGTTTCGAAAAGCCTTGCCCTGGGGGTATCTTTTGGAGTCCTCAATCTCTTGTCCTTGGAAGACGCATCTTTTGTGGATGGAGATACAGAAGAAACCTGTTGATCAAAAGCCTTCCGGTACAGTGAGAGAAGATACTGTTCCAAATGTGCTACTTCCAACTCTAGTGTCGCGATTTCCTTGATCAACTCTGTTGCTGGCTGGACTCGAGGAAAGGGAAAAAGCGTCAGTTTCCACCCCCAAATGGTTGGAAGTGAAACTACTACCAAATTAGATGCGTGGCTTTAGACTTTATAAATTGTGTGCTCAGGCAAACTTAAGGCAACAGTAGCAACGCTCAAAGTTACTAGAAAATGAAGTTCGTAAAGCAAAATCCACGAACCATTTATTACTAAATCAAAAGATCATTGAAATCCACACTAAGAATAATACAGTAATGCTAGTTTTCAGATGGAGTGCCTTCAAAAATTAGATAGTAAAAGTAGAGAAATCGAAAAAATACCTTGGGCATTGAAACGTCACTTGCATTGGCATGGGAGGAAGTCTGATAACCTAGCGCTTTTTCCAAAACATGACGCACCTGGAACTGGTCTTGTAATCTTTTCTCAAGTTGCAAAATCTGCAAAAAGGGATCAAAATGAATGGAGGATAAAAGTAACTGATTTTATTTTTTTCAGCGAAGCTCAATTCTATGGTGTCGTTTTACATACCTCTTGCTTCAAAGAATTGTGGGTCTCAGAATTCGAGGACTGTTTCTTGTTGCTTTTCGAGGAGTGTTCAACATAAACTATGCCCTGATAAGAGATTTAACAAATCTATATTAGAAACTAAGCCAACAGCTTTTGTGATACAAAAACGAGATGATCGTGAACGTGTAAAGCATTTCACATATTCTCAGCACAAAATAGTTCCAACTTCCAGAATACTTAATCATGTCGAGTGAAGAAGCGAAATTAGGTATCAGTGGTTCAGAAACAGAGAATTTCACGATGACAACCAACATAGAGCCATGATAAATACACCCCATCGATGTTGAGTATCCAATTAATGGTGTTCTATATGACGGCCGGTGATATTTTAGTGATATCTAACAACACATGCAGGAATAGTACGCTATTCTTGTTCGTTCGCACCCCTCAATGCCTCTCCTTGTTTGAAGAAGAGGCTGGGCAGATTTTTGATCCCAATCCAACAAATGGCGAAGTGTTTGACTTGAAAGAACAATTTCTCTAACGACCAACAATTGTATCACTAATAGTTGTTATTGTCCTCCACCCAATACTAGCAGTGAAACGTACTTGACCTAACTATTGTATTTTTTAACCGGAGGAAAGGGAACAATTTTTTTCTCAGGAACTTTCGATGAAATGCAGAGTTGGCCCATACTCCATACCAGATAACTCTTGAAACAATCAGATTACCGCACCGACAGTGGACCTTTCTTTTCATTTCTGAGTGAATTCAGTTCATTTCAAGCAAATTGGAAAAGGAGAGCAACCTTACCTCCTTCATGCCTTGTGAAACTTCAGGTGAAACATCAGAACCGTCTTCTGGAGCTCTGTTCTTGTCCGGAAAGCTGCAGTGGCAGAGGCCCAAGCAAGAAGAGTTAACATTGATAGATTGAAAGAGGCAAAATTTGGAGGAGCCAGCC